TGAGGAGCTTTTTGTATGTGGGAAGACTGATATGAGATGTCATTCTGTGTGCTATAAATATGTATTGCTTTTATTGGTTGATGAATAAAGCTGTTTTGACCAGAGGCCAGGCAAAATATAGCTGTGCTGAAAATTCAAACAGTTATGGAAAGAAAGAAGGTGGAGTCAGGGAGATGCCCTGTAGCCACCGAAGGAGTAACATGCCAGAGCATCACTGGTAAGTCACAGCCTCCTGATAATACATAGATTAATAGAAATGGATTAATTTATAAGGGAGAGCTAGCCAGTAAAATGCCTGAACCATTGGCTAACAATTATATTTAAAAAAAAAGAAGATGATGAAGAAGAAAGAGGAGGAGAAGAAGAAAAGAAATAGGAACTAGTTTTAGTCTAAAAGTATAAAGAGAAAGGCAAGAGGAAGAGTGTTTAATTCAAGAAAAAATTGTCTAAGGAACCAACATTTGAGAGCAAACAGTAAAGAATGTGACTTAGGGAGTCAGAGTATAGATGGATTTTCTCTATAGGAAGAAAAGGAGGATAAAGTGGGTGGGAAATGAAGATTTGAAATGAAGAACAAGAATGCAGATGAATGGTACTAAATATTGGGAAACATGCATGGTCAAGAATGGAGATTATTGGGCTAGAGAGATGGCTCAGCCGTTAAAGGCTAGGCTCACAACCAAAAACATAAGAATGGAGATTATTTTTAGAATAGATTATTGCAACATGTTTCAAACTCTTTGGTGAAATATTGTACATATGTTGTAATGGGACTTTTTGAGTCAAGCAGGATATTCTAGTATCCAGTTATAATTTGTAGTTGAAGAGTTGAATGACTGAAACCAATTATCCAGATGTTATTGACTGTGATTGTCTTCATGTAACAGGAACACCAAGAGAGAAATGAGAGCTAAAAACAGCTTTCTAAGTATTGTCAAATTGATGTTTTTCTTATCACACTCAAATGGTGGCTCATATTTAAAGATGCATCAAAGAAAGATGCATTCCAAATATGTACTAGACATTCTCATGATTAAACATCATAATTACTGCCTTCTTTTGGTCATGAGACATTTTGTGTAGGATATAAAAGAATACAGACAGCTGTCAAAACTAACTGGTTATTCCATAAAATGTAAATAGCATAAGCTTTAAGAAATGCCTGTGGACAAAATATATATAGATTGTTTTTTATAACAACTTCACCTAAAATAAAATCTGGGGGGGGGGAAATCATAATTAATAGCCAAGTGTCAGAGCAGTCCAAACTGGATGCAGTGTTGTAGCTTGGAGTAGATGTCAGTACAGAGATATCAAATGTGATAAGTGACGTGTTTCAGGTGTAAATATCAGTAGTATAATTTTTAGTTAAAAAAAATTTTATATCAGATTACAACATCTCTATGTGAAGAGCCACTTAAAATGCTATAAAAACTGGTAGAAATGCATTTATTCAACAACAAGTAGATCCATCCTATTAGGTTTTTGTTTGTTTTTTTGTTTTGTTTTGTTTTTTATTATTAAGTTTTGGCTTTTGGTTTTATTTTCTCAGTTGTCTATTTTATATTCATTATTTCTGTTCTAATTTCTTGTTTTCTTCTTTCTTTGGATTTAACTTGCATGCAATACTTGGTGTAGCTAAAATATCCACTTTGGTGGGTCTAGTCTATGGCATATGAATATTTATGGTAAATAAATATGAGATAGACCTTGAGCCCCTTGATATGTTTTACATAGAATTAAGGTCAGACATGTGAACTTCAATTAATATTATATGGTTACAGAGCAATGAAATATACTTATTTCAGTTTTCTAGGTTTATATTGGGCTGGAGAGATGGCTCAGCTGTTAAAGGCTAGGCTCACAATCAAATTTCTAGGTTTATGTCAAGAATGCTTTGCATCTAACATAGTTAAATATATATTCCATAGATGGATTCTTTTTATGTATATATTTTCCTTATGCTTCCTTTTTCCGGTACATATACATATACATACACAAACCATAAAGTGATTTTGTTTTTTAAAGAGAAACAGGGATAAAATAAACCAGAATTCCTACATAAGATTAGCTACTATATCATATTGCTTTTAAGAGATAAAAATACAGTAATAGATTACTAAATCTAAGAGTGCTACACATTTTTGTGGTAAATGTCTATGTTCCAGTATTTTGATTCATATATGTTAGCACATAAAGATTAAGATTGCCATGGGTTGTGAGGCAGCTATGACACTATAATCATGGTCTATCACAAAAAAAAGCCAGGTAATACTCTTAATTTCTTAAGCATCACAGCCTGAAAATAGAAAACAAACAAACAAACAAACAAAAAACCTAAACATATAGGTACATAGTAGTCACAAGTGATTTGATGATGAAGAAAGTCTGAGGAGACTGACTTTCAAAGATCTTAGTCCTACACTGATGTTGTATTCCCAGCCCAGGTGGAAATATGGACTGTGTCTTTCAAAAGTATTCCTCTACTTAGCCTGTAAAGAAACATAAATATTTAATTTGAGAAAGATAGTGAATGTTGGTGTATGGTTTGATGGAAGAGCGATGTGGAAAGAATTTAAGGGGACATAATTTCCCTAACATTTCCTAAATATACTTGAATTTGTACAGGTAAACCCAGCTCTAAGCATGTCTTTTCAATCAACTGAAGTCAATGTCTTGAACACATGTTAACTGACTGTTATAATAACAGAATAATCAAGAGAGCACAAAGAGAGGACAGGCTTATTTGACTCACAGTTTTGGAAGTTTCCATATAGCACTGATGGGTCCCATTTCTATTGGGCTTGTAGTAGGACAGATGGCACATCATGGTGGGACAAGCTGTTCACTTACGGCAGTGATGAAGGAGAAATACAAGGAGGAAACTATAGCTCTATAGTCACCTTCAAGAGCATGCTCTTCTAAGACAAAGCTAGGCTCCATCTCTTAAAAGTTCATCAACTCTGAAATCGAGGCCTTTATCACATGGATTTCTGACAACTTTCTAGATCCATACTGTAGTAGCCCATAATCTTGACCTTACTGTTTTGATCATTTAGAAAATTTTCTAAAGACACAATCACTTTCAAAGAAAGATCTGTGTGAAGTATAATGCGCTTGTTGGTAAAGTATATTAAATTCATATTCTAATAATATGGTTGCTCTTTACTGAGTTAGCACATACAATTAATTTATAGTTAGGTGCTTCTGATTGGCTTGTGCTTACCATTTTTAAAGAGGGGGCATCACACTGTGCCAACTGATACAGGAGTATTTTGAAAGAGGTACCTATAGAAAAACTAAGATGGTATGACACTATTTGCAGTTTACTAGGATTACCATTACAAAATGCCACAGACTAAGAGGGTGGTTTTTGTTTGTTTGTTTGTTTGTTTAAGGAAGAAATAAAGGAGAGAGAGAGAGAGAGAGAGAGAGAGAGAGAGAGAGAGAAATACTGTTACAAGTCAAAGATCAATTTCTTTGGCTTACATTGTCTTAGCCTTCCCTGGGTTTTGATTAGGTCTTTCCTTAGTTCATGTATTTCCTTGTGTGTCCAAATTCCCTCTTTTTATAGAGACTTAAGCCACTTTAATGCTGTTACCTCTTTGAAAGCTGCACTTAAATACAGTCTTTTTTTCTGTGAGACAGGGTCTCTGTGTAGCCCAGAATGGCCTGGAACTTGCCCTGTAGCCCAGGCTGGCCTCAGACTCAGTTTTCATACTTCTATCTCCTGATGCTGAATTATATGTATGTACCACTAAATCTGGTTCAGATTTTTCTTGTGTTTGCTTTCATTGTGACTGAAGTCAGACCTCATCTTCCAACTTTAAAAAATAGAATCTTAATGGAGATTTGGTGAGAATAAGGGCAACACACTTTTCTCAATCCAATTGTGTGTCTATTTTTTAAGATTTTAGCAGAACATGCTAATTTCTTCACCTTGTTTCTCATTTTCCTATCCCTGTAAGAATTACACTGTGTTCTGGTGAGACTCATCTGCTCTGGGACTGAGCATCTTGTTTTCAAAAGGAAGCCCATGTGTGTCGCTTGCTCTTTGGGGTCAGAGCTCTGACAAGTGAGAACCCTGTCACTGTGGTGTTCACTCACAGCCAGTACAGGTAGTATGGATAAGGCTTCTGTACCTTTCATCCACCTCAGGATTCCTTCACACCCTGTTCCAATTTTGGGACCCACTTAAACTCAGCCTAGCTCTGTCATTGCTAGCATAGTTACTTCAGACTGCCTTTCAGACTGCCTTCTGGACACATCACTTATAAGGAGGGAGTGAAAGCTGCGGATGCAGTTTTTCATGAACTCCAGAGATTGCTAAGAATTCTGCTTCTAAGGCAAAGGTAGTCATCAATGTCTGTCCCAAAAAAGAATTCTTTACAAATTATAAAGGAGGATTGCGATCTGTGCTTTTATAGAACAGCTGTGTTAAATTGGCTTTTGCTTTTATTTGTTGATAAGTTGGGTTGTTGGTTTTAAAACAGGCTCTCACACTATGCACCTCAATTGGGCTTGGACTTGTGATCTTCGTGCCTCAGCCTTCTGAGATTATAGGAGTGTACCACCAACTTTACCTAATATTTATTTATTTTTAATATTAACTGATTGAGCCAAATGCCAGGAAAGAAGGAAAGGGTAGTGAGCAAGGTTTTGTTCTTGCTGCCCTGGAAAGAACCACCATCTCCCCTAGTGGCCAACATCCTTATGACAGCCCTCTACCCCTGCTCTATACCAGCAAATAATTACAACAAATTGTGTAAGTTTTCTCCTGTCAAAGTGGTTTATGACTTTCCCAGTGTTCTGTTTCACATAATCAATTTTTAGCGGGATAACCAAGATCTTACCATTCTGTCTTTAGACTATTGACAGAGAAAGCCAAGCACCTGTCTACCTGTGACTCGGTCTTCATTTCATTGTTTGCTCTCTAGTTATATACTAAAAGTAAGTTTTCCTGAATTGAAATATATTGACAGTATTCTTTTTTCTTTCAGCTTGTACCTCCTTTTAAGCCTCAAGTAACATCTGAGACAGATACCAGATATTTTGATGAAGAATTTACAGCTCAAACTATTACAATAACACCACCTGAAAAATGTAAGTGAATCTATTAGGCAGTTGATAACTTTCTAAAATAATCAAAAAGAGCCGTCTTCAAAATCATGTGACTTTTATTCCATTTCTGTTAAGAATTTGGAGCTCCCTGTGTAGGAATAGCAGATCAGCAGGCAGAGGAACAGCCCTGCGTAGGACAGTTAGAGGTCAAATTACAGACTTATTTCTTCCTCACTTACTGATGTTTTAGCAGTGCTTTGCTGCCTGCTGGGAGCATTCCCTATTCCAGACCTTGTTTCCTCACAGCGTATCTTCAACATTATGCTAGTTTTATCTCCTCCTTCCATAGGTGTTTTTAACTTTACTTTTAAAACTAGGTTTCCCTTAAACAGTAATATCTTTAAACACAATGTAGTTGGTTATTTTTATGCAATACTTTAAATTAGAAATGTGTTAGGCTGTGTGTTCATAAACCATTTCATGTCATTCCATATGCATTAATGTATGCCTTGTACTCCAAGAAATGCCATAAACAGGTTTTGATGAAACAGGAGGATAAGGTAGAGTTTTGAGGTGATATTTGGGAAGCTAAAAGAATCCCAGGCATACATGTTTAGCATCCTTTAGCATTTCTTTCTTTCTTTTCCTTTGTTTGTACATTTTTCTCTGCTATTGGTTGGTTCTGCTCATATATACTGAATGTCTGTGAGGAAAAAGAAAATGAAAAGAAAATGAAATTCTATTCCCATACTGGTCATGGGTGACTAATTTTATTGTTGAAACACAAACTAGGACTCATCTGGGGTCCATGGCCCTGCACTCAGGAGAACACATGCCCCGAGGGGAAATGTCTGTGCCTGCATATGTGCACTTCTGGCTCTTTTGTGCCTTTAGATTCACCAAGAAATGCTTTAAATCTTATAAGTGGAGACTTTGAAGCCCAGTGTCACACACAGCCAGATCAGCCAAGTACTCAAGATGCCCACATTCTAAAGTGAGCCACATATAAAGTAGACTTTTAGGATCACTAGGAAGTTAGAGACTATTCAAAAGCCTGTGGAGTTGCAGGCTATTGGTTAAGGGTTATCTGAGTAGAAGTTATGAGAAGAGGCCATGGTCTTTGGTTCCAGGATGGGTTATAGCAATATAATTTTTCAAAATGCTGGGAAGCACCATTGAGTGTCTGAACAGACCAAGAGACGTGCCTGCCCTGAGTTCTTGCTGGGCTCTGCCATTTGGATCTAAGGCTGCTTGTTTGCAGACTGTCATTCCCCAGAGTAAGGCTCTCTGCTGACTTCCCTTTTCAGCATATATCCACATTCTCACCCAGAGAACTACCTTTGATGTCCTAGTCCAAGGACTCTTAATTAATAAGCTACATTCTGCTGTAATGCTTCTGTGTTGATGATGCCTTTATTTGCTACTTTTCTTGGTAATTGTTAATCTGTTTATGTCAGTGTAACATAAAAGTACTAAGAGAAAGGTTCTTGTGACTTATTAACTGTCACAGGTCCCAGGATGGATGTCTATCCCAGGATAGATACTTAATAAGTATTTATTAAACAAGGGAACATAAAATATGACTGGGGCCTGGAACAGTTAGGTCAGGAAGAAACCATGCTCTTAGCATAGTTCAGTTGTTTGTGGATATCTGGGCTTCCTTTTTTCCTAGTTGGCATCCATGGTCTATATTGGGATAGGAATATCTTGCTGTCTTTTTGGAAAGTAGGTTGGAGGGAATCTCACAAGCCTAGCCTGGTCTGGAACTCAGGATCCTTACACCTCGACCTCCAGAAAATAATATGCCCGGGCCTTTGCATGCTTGATTCATGACATCCCTGCCCTCAGTCTCAGCTTTTTCAAGATGCTGCTTTTCTTAAACAGAAGTTTTGGCATTTGAACATTCTTTTTAAGACGGTGGAATATGTGATTTTGGAAAAAATAGAAATAGGTAGGGCTTGGAAATGAATCACAAGTAGATAGTTCACTTCAGAAAGTTAAAAGTAAAAGCCCTATTTGCAAGCTAGAAAATGTGAAAACATAGGCTCCAAGCTGGGGAGCCTGCTTCATGTCCTGCCTCTGCTACTTACTAGTTCTGAGATATGATGTTTCAACTATCTGCTTGACAAGGAAGCCTAGGGGATTCTGTGACAATCTCTAGAGCTCTAGAGCCCATGTTCCTCTGCTGTGTGCCTGACAAGCCAGCTCTTAAAGAAAGTCTCTAGATGACTCCAAGCTTGAGTGACCTGATTAACTGGCCCGAATGATCTACATGAAAAGTCCAATATAGTAAATCCCTAACTAAGTGGAATGAGCATGAAGAAATGTAAGACGAAAAAGATAGTAGCAAAATTAATTTAAAATTCTATGGAGTCTCGGTCAAGTGAAATTAGAAACTATTAAAAGATACTCTTGTGGTTAGTCAGCCACTGTTTCACGATTAGCTTGCCTCAGGAGTCATGGACCAGGACATCTTAACTCCTCCTGTCTTCATATTTGGAACTCTTTAACTTATGGCAGCTGTCCTGATGAGAATTTATATGTTTATTTCTCAGTCCCTAAATGAGTTCCTAAACCTCTGAAACGATACTGAAATGTTGAAGAGAAGAGGCTTTATATGCTCTGCTTCTAGAATTTAACTTTAACTGTTTCCTCACCTCCATTAATCCACAAGAGTAGGCCATGTTACATAAGCCTCAGTGTCTTTGAAAGATGATGAGTTCCTTTCCAGAGTGATAGGACTGCACAGAAAGCCCTTAGGTTAGCATAATTTCTAAGGTGGGTGTTATTATAGCCTGTGGAAATCTGACTTCTGTGGGCATCAGAAGTAGAGTAAGGCTTCGTTTTGCTGCTGGTCCTAGAGACAGTACAGTAACAAGAGCCCAGTCGGTGTGGTCCATGCCTGACAGGCTATGCCATAGACTGGGAATAGGGAGAGCATACAGCTTGGCCTCCTCTTGTCTCATTCAGAATTTTTAGGATGGAAAGGCAAGTGAGAGGATGGCCATACCTCTCTCTGCCCTAGCTTCTTGTTCAAGGGGACAGGTTCCAGTGGTTATTAACTGAAGTTCTTGGTTGTAAGGACCAAGGCAAGAGCTTTAATTTTGGCAGTTCATAAATTCTAGGTTTCTGTTATGAGAAGAGAAAAGAGACAACAAACCATTATTACACAGAGTAACAGAGTAGTTTTGTTTGTTTGTTTGTTTGTTTTCCTGGTAGCCTTGTTACAGCTCACACACCAAGATTTGGTTCAGAAGTCCATAGAAATGCCATTTGTTAGCAGTTGTCTTCCCACTTGCCACCTTGGTTTTGTAAATCAAAAAATTTTAATTATTTTTGAGAATAAATCAGTAGTTAAGAAAGAAAGCAAAATGTTCCATTTCCTACAAACAGCTGTAGCAATGTGCCAGATTGTCCTAACTGGTGTTAATTAATTGAACAGATTTAGAATGTGTTGTCTTTCATTACATCCATCAGTGTCCTATGTTTTCCTCTCACAGAAAAGGAAATTTCTTTGAAAGAGATCTGGTCACTTTTACTACATTTGTTAAATTACATTTGTTAAATGTTCTGAGAAAACCAGGTGGCCAAGGCTGCTTGGATGCTAAATGGCAGAGTTGGTGATTTTAGTGTAGTGTGTGCTCATTGTTGTTATCATTGTACCTTCAAGGTCCTCCAGTTCCCTCCACTGCAGCCTCCTGCCAGGACATCATAGGTGTCCATGGAGTCACTGCTATCCTATCTCAGTTGGACAAGGTCAAAGAGCCAGCCTCATTGTGATCAACCCTGATGGACCAAGAGCTGGAGTGGGTAGCTTTAAAGAATAATGGAAATGTTGGGGCCTCACAACCAGATTATAGATTCAGATCTGTTCCTATTCAGAATTGTGGTCTGTAATATGAAGTTACAGTGAAGGCCATTTTAATTCTCTGGAAACACCCAGCAGTGTTCCCTCCCACTCCATGTAAAACCCTTCTGGGCTTAGGACAAGGTCTGGTTACAGCCAGGAGCTAGAGCAGCCCCTGTCACCTAGAGTAGCTTTCTCACACATAGTGTCTGGATCTTGCTCCAGGTTTGCTGTGCAGAAACACTGAAAAATAAAGCTTTTAGTGGGAAAAATGACTTTTCAGATGTGATTGGCACATGTCAGAATTGGAATATTATAACTTCAACTGACTTTCCTGGAGAGATTTTATGCTGTCTGAGTCAACAGTGGATATCTCCAACCCCTCCAACACCTCCCAATCTTCAGACAGCTGAAGAACTTGATCTAGAAGATGCATGGGATTGACTTAGTTATGAACCCATATTTTCTAAGTAATCAGAGATTTCCCTCTATCTCAACACTACCTAAAATTGCTGCTGCCCAGCTGCTGGCAAGGTAGTGGTCTGTTTGCAGAGGGGAATTTATGCAGTGTCGGACACAAACTGTATGTGCTGTGTTTTTACCTGCTGCAGTAACAGTTTGTGGTACATTTAAGCTGGAAACTGTAGGCTAATGGCAATTTAGTTTAACTTCTGCTGTCCCTGTGCATTAAGAAGGGAATGTAAAGGGGAAACAAAAACACAAAGAAACAAAACCATTGATTTTTCAGATGAAAGAAGAGCCTTTTATGGGGTACTGATGGGAGATGCCATTATGTATATATGTTTCTCATACTGGTTAATAAATAAAGCACTGTTGGCCAATAGGAAAGGAAGATAGGAGGGACTAGGAGACAAGGAGGAAATAGGAAGTAGGAAGGAGGAGTCAAGATGGAGAGTCTGGAGAGAGCTGGACGCCAGCCGCCTCCCCGGTAAGAGAAGGCCATGTAAAAATACATAGATCAACAAAAATGGGTTAATAATTAAAGACAGAGCTAGCCGATAAGAAACAAGTAACCGGGCCAATCAAATAGAGTCTCTGTGTGTTAATTGGGGCTGGCGCGGCGGCAGGACAAGACCAGGACAAGACCAGGAGGCAGGAGGAAAAACCGTGCTCCTTACAGGGTACAGCAGTATAACCTCTGTTGTTGCTGTTATTATACCTAATCAATGCACCTTAGGGAGACTGGGAAATAAGAAGAATGGAAATATCTTTCTTTAATGGGGTTGAGGATGTGGGAATATTTTGCTTGAAAATAATGGTTGTAATGCTGGTGAGAGATGATGTCCCAACAATTAACAGCACTTGCTACTCTTATAGGGGACCTGGGTTTAGTTCCTAGTCCCACATTGGGGGGTTCACAACCTCTAACTCCAGTGCTTTAATTTGTTTATACTGTTATGATGAAAACCAGGGCCAAAATCAACTTTTTTGGCTTACATGTCCTGATCACAGCCCATCATTAAAGAAAGTCAAGACAGGCGCATAAGGCAAGAATCTGGTGGCAGGAGCTGATGCCACAGAGAAGCAGCTTCCTGGATGGCTCCCTATGGCTTACTCAACTTGCCTTTTTATATAACCCAGGACTACCAGCCCAGGGGTGACATCACCCAGTGTGGGCTGGACCTTCCTATGTACATCTGATGGAAACATTTTCTCAGTGAAGATTTCCTCCTCCCAAATGACTTCAGCTTATACCAAACTGACAAGAAACTGACCAGCATACAGTTGCATAGAGGGGATTATCGCTTCTTCTCAAATCTGAGGATACTTGCACTTATGTTTCATACACACACACACACACACACACACACACACACACTAAATAAATAAATAAAATAAAGACAATTTGTTATTTCAAAGGTTGTACTGATGTGTTCATCTTGATTACAGGATAATATGCAGAGGACTTTGGAGATGAGCAAGAGTGGCTTAGGTGGAGCCTGCTAGTGCTCTGCACACCCGAGGAAGAGCTCTGTGACTGTGCATTCTTACAACACAACATTTGGGGGGGGGGGGAGGAGGCACAGTCCTTTCTGGCCTTTACATACAGCAAAATAGAAATAAAGAAAGGGCTGAGCTCGTACATGCTGCTCATGTCTTGCAAATCCCATGTCCCTGATGAACCAGAACTTGAATGTTGTCCTTTTCTTTCATCTTCTCTTTATTCTAAAATTTTATCACAGGAAAATTGAGAGTAGTGAGTTAATCGATGGTAACTAATGACTAATATTACTTGGATTAGTTTACAGTCTTACTAGGTCACCAGGAAGAAAAAAATGCAAGCACTTTGAAGACCTAAATTGTGTAGAATTCTGTGACTTAAAATTTAGAACTGCATATGTTCCTGAAATGCATGATTCTGGTTTTTTTAGTAACATTTTCCAAACAAGTATTGAATCTTGACATTTTGATGTTTTAAAGATGATTTATAATGTTATTTCTTTGTAGATCATGTGCATTTAGAAAAAAAACTAAATTTTATGGAAAAGTTTATGATTTATTGTACCTGTAGTATATTGTCCAGAGATAGTACTGCAATACATAAATGACAGTAGCTGTTTGTTGCCCACAGATGATGAAGATGGCATGGACTGCATGGACAATGAGCGGCGGCCACATTTCCCTCAGTTTTCCTACTCTGCAAGTGGACGAGAATAAGTGTCTTTCATTCTGTTTCTACACTGTCATCTTATATTTTGTCACTTGAGAATGATTCCTGGACATCTCCACCAGTCCTCGCTCTTACAGATAGCAGGGCCACTTCTGACATCCCTGACCAGCCAAGGGTCTTCACCCTCACCACCTTTCACCCACATGAAAACATATACACAGACACTCCAGTTTTTGTTTTTGCATGAAATTGTATCTCAGTCTAAGGTCTCATGCTGTTGCTGCTACTGTCTTACTATTATAGCAATTTTCAGAAGTAATTTTACAATCTTTGGGAGTCATGAGCCCATTGTTCATTTGTGCATCAATTGTCATCTTCTTTCGGTTTTTGTTTCTCCCTAGCAGTAAAGGCTAGATGAGATACACAGATTCTAGGTACATTTTTAACTTTCTAGAAGATACAGCAAGAACTAATTAGACTAAGAAGATTTAGTTTATATTTCTGAACAAGCAATTGTTGAAGGGTGGTGGTATGTGTATGTAAGAGTTTAGCATACATGTCTGATCAGTGCATAAGTTGCATACCACTGATATTTGGCAGAAAATCCTTAGGAAGCATTGAGAGGACGGAAGAGCTGATGAGATACACATGTTTTTAATTCCTGCTGGTTATTGTGGAGGAAGCCCAGTGTCACATGGGTGCCCAGACTTCATGGGCAAATGGACGGCATTCCACCAAGCACTGCAGGTGCAGAGTCACCTAAAGGGTCTTAGGATCTACGTTGTACCAGAGAGTATTTTTCCCCTGGGCTTGGCAACCTTTTCCCCTTCTTGATATTTATCACCTCTGATGGCTGAAGAATGTAGACAGTATAATGATCCTGCTGTCACCAAAATCTATACGCCAAGGTGAACAGGTGTTTGCCTTATCAGTTTTGAAGTTTTACTTTCAGTTATAGGTGAATTAGCTCTTATCAGATGTTAAAACTTTGAATGTCCTTTTATGATTTTGTTTATATTACAGTAGTATTTATTTTTTAGTGATAAGAATTGTATTGTCATGTTAGCAAATGCAGCTCCAACTCACAGGACATTGACTGCGGTTTCTTTTGAACCATGTGCAAGGAATGTACACACCCATTAGAATCATGCACTTTTTCTCCTTTGTACAAAAAATTGGTAAGGCTCTGGAATTATATCCATTGGTTAGAATCTGGCTATGAGAGAAAAGATGCTGTAATTAACCCCTTGGTGCCGAAATGAGAAAATCTCCAACTACCCAATGCCAAGGGGTTGATGGAGCAAATGGATGTTGATGGTTGCTCACTTGAGTGGATGTGTGAGTATGGCCTGGCATACAGTAATGGAGAAAGCTGAGACCCAAATGATGATAAGAAATGAACTTTACTTGGCAAAATGAACACATCACAGATATTTACACAGTAGGTAGCAATGGATAAGAAACTGGTGTGTTTATTCTTATCAAGGTACATTCATTACTGAATCAAGCCATCAGGGAAAACAACAAAACAAAACACCTCTTGCTTTTCTTTCTGTACATACTCATGTCTCCCAATCCCAAACATTTCTCACTGAGAGGGGACATGTATGCAAACCTCATCTTTCTCCTTCATTAATGATGATCTTCAGATTAAACCCTTTGGTGCTAGGAGCTGACATTTTCCAAAGCAGACTATGAAGTGCAAGGATCAAAGCCTTTCTTGCAGCAAGCAGGAGGGCATCTGCTCCAAGAGTGATCATGGAGATGTATTCTAGTTACTGACAGCTCCCAAATGGAAGACTACAGTGTGACATAGCAGTGTTCCTGCATTGTCTTTTTGAGTAGGAAGTCATGTTCTCATGCAGATGTCTTAGCCTCTAGGCTCAGACTTGGGGAAGCAGAGCCGCTGCTGGCAGTGGCTAGCCGCTGGGACTGCTGGGACAGAAAGGTCATTTACTAAGGCAGCTAAGATGGATTCGGACATAGATTTTGTCCTGATTTTTCATGTTTCTACGTGAGTGAGTTTATCCTTAGTATGGAGTGGGAAGTTAAACAGATGTTCATTCTTACATCTGTAGTCTTTTTCCTACTTAGGATTATGTTGAATGTTTCATATTGGCAGGAAAAAGTAGATTAGATGGTATGTCCTTTAAGTTATCCTGCATCTGTTTTGTAAGAAAGAAATGTGAGAGGAAGAAAATAAAGCTGAGCCTGGGAGATGTTCAGAGCATTTATCCCTCAGAGGGAGCAGACACTATACACTAAGCACACAGCTTCTTTTGTTCTGTCTCTCCTCCCAAGTCTTAAGGTGACTTCATGACCTTGGCCAAGGGCACTTTCTAAAGATTAATGAGAGGGCACTGACCATGCCTCAGGCTGGCCACTCCTCACACCTGGCCTTTGGTCCCCAGCCATTCGAGGGCTTTCTCTTCCCATCCCAGGCTCCCTGCGTGTCACAGCAGGTGTATTCTTGGCTTTGATTTTGAGAACTTTTTCCTTGTAATCCCAGAAGTCAGTTAAATGGCAGAAGTAGAATAGTGTGGAGGAGATACCTATACCTAAGCTGAGGATTTGGGCAAAATTGAGATGGCTTGAAATGTGGAATTTTTATGTCTGGATGCAGTTCTGGCTTTGTGATCCCACCTCCTAAAAGCTCGAGCTTGACCTCTTGTCATCATACAGGGCTGTCTTGGAGGGATCTGGCCACTTCTGCTCAGATTGCTGGCAGGATTGCTCACAGCTTTGCTTTCTACACTAACAACATAGCATTATTCCAGTATTGTTTCCATTTCCCATGCCTGACTGTTCTCACAGGGGCCACATGCTTCTCCTTCCCTCACTAACTGCAGGGTCTCTACCACACCTCAGTGTACACACTTTGCTGCTACTGTCTGTACTGTCTACATCCCAGTTCCCTTAGCTTGCTCCTGGTAGTGCATTACAGGCAAGCATGAAATGTAAAGTATTTATTTAAATAAAAAAGAAAACCTCTGAATTGGTCATCGAGTCACCTACCTGTAGATTTGTAGTTTGTGACATATTTTGACTTTCGTAGTTCTTCTGCTAGATCCATACAAGATGTGGTCACCTGATTAAGGGTTTGGAGCAGACACAGCTATGAACCTAGATGCTGTATCATTATCATTGCTGGTCACACTACAGACGTTCGTTTTCTTACATATGAAATGACTACAAAAAACTGGCTCTGTACACTGTACACCCTTAGCATCTCACAGGCATCTGGTAGGGGCATACATTACTTCCTTCGTACAGACAGAGTAAATAAAGCCCTGTATCAATATGCTACTCCTTTGTTGTTGGTTGTTGTTGGATATGGCTCTGTAATTTCAGAAAACTAGTTTGTTCTTTCTGAAAAAAAAAAAAATGTTTATAGCCCCAAATGGTATTAACCAACCCTGTACATGGAGGTGTGACAGGAAAGTATGTAAATTCCCTCTTAGAGTGAAACCACATATGAGGTTATTTTTTATGTAAGCAAAATGCCATAGCATACAGACTAATGTAGAACTAGGAGTGGGGTCACTGACCATAGCTCTAGGTCTCAAGGTGCCAGGATACCAGAGACAGAATAAGTTGCAGACTGATCCAAAGGTCTTAAGAAAAGGTGTGGACCCAGACTTCTTAAGGAATGTAGCTTATCACTAATGTCTTCCTGATAACATACTGCTGGACACACTTCCTTTTCAAGTGTATCTTTAAACCTTCATGGAAGTTTATAACTTAGACATGAGTAATCAATGGCCAGAATGTTTGAATTACATTGAGTAAATTTTAGATGGGGCGCATTTCTGATTTTACCTCATAAACTATAATCGTAGAATTTGGTTTTGTTCTTGTGGTTCAGCAGAGAGAGAGGCATGACTTTTGGGACCAGTTTGTCAGGCATGCATGTGTATTTCTTACAGCCAAATTTGGGGACATTTTTACATGTGCTGTCCTCAAAATCAACTGGGGTTGACAGATCCAGGAGGCTGAAATAAAGTGACCTCTATAACTCTTTAAAGGTGCTATTTTTAGAATATTGTATAATTTATTCATGGTATACATAAAATAGAAGTGAGGACAGTTAAAATACTTGACAGCTTTATGTCTAGAATATTTGATGAAACCAGAAACATCTGACTCTGAATAAAAGTTCTGTTTGAGGCTTGCACCTTTGACATGCCCCAGAGATGAGGATAGCCATGCACTGTCATGCCACCCCCTCCATGGCCTGAGCTGCATGATTGTGAGGGGCGGGCTGAGTATGTAGGAACCAGGCCTCTGTTGAGAGCTCTGGGCTGGTGGGTTGCTGGCTGGGAAAGGAGAGGAGGTTGGGCTTGTCCCACCATGCAGCCTTCCTTGCCCTAATGTTTCATCCTACCCTCAAACACCATGACCATCTCAGCATCTAGGGGTTTTTTTTTTTTGTTGTTTTGTTTTTTTGTTTTGTTTTGTTTTTGGTGTGTGTGTGTGTGTGTGTGTGTGTGTGTGTGTGTGTGTGTGTGTGGTGCTGGGGAAGGAACTCAGGGCCTCACACATTGGGCAAATGTTTTACCACTGAGCTATACCCCAGACCTTCCAGTGTCCATATGTATTCCTTTAAAGCATTTGAGGGCTTGACTGTATAGTAGAAATACTATTTTAGACAAAAAATATGATCTGTGTACAGATATTTGATATACTGTTAAGTAAATTTTCTAATTTCACATACATTTGTTTTTAGGCTCCTCTCAAATACTGCTATTGAAGACTAAAATCTGACACCATCGAGCCAAAGATGCCTTTTTTTGGGGGTAGGGGCTGTTTTGTGTTGTTCAGAGAACGGAAAAGAATAATGCAGAGTGCTTCCCCCGAGTGCAGACAGTACGATGGTAAATACTGGATGCTGGCTAAAGGTGTCCAGGTATACATAATCTTTCTATTGCAAAGGGGAAGAACAGTGAACAGCAGCAGGAGAGGTGGTCTTCAGTACACTTTGGCTGACTTCAAACATGTGCCTTTGGTGTATTTTGTTTGTCACTGCTACAAAACGAAAAGGAAACTGAACAATTCAAGGCTTGAGAGGTCATTTTATTAATCCTGTGCATACTCTAGAATAGAGACAACATAATTCAGTGACTTGAAGCTTTTTTGAGCACACTCCAACTAGCCCGAGCCAGTTCATGCTGAAGCACTCCCTGTCTGTAGCGCAGGGACAGAACCATGGCATGATGACCAGCCCCCCGCAGTCCCAGGTGGTGTCTCCCTGGGGAGGTTTCGGTGCACTGTAGCACATTAAGTACAAATCAGATGAATGTAAATATCTCTTTGTAAATCATTTATTTCACTCTGTTTCATCCAGGTCAGCAATCAGATTGTGGCATGCTGGGTAACTGGAAAAAAATGATAATAAAAAGTAAGTTTAAATAGATCACGGGTATTGTTTTCTCATTTGCTAGTTTGGTCAGCTGTTATTACTGAAGTTTTAAAGCAAAGGTTTCTGTTGCTAAAAGTGTGCAAATAAATTTAGCCAACTGCACTGAAAGTTTGTGCCTCACTCCTTGCCACCAGAGACCAAAGAAAATCTGTTTCATGTTGCAAGTATCAAGTTATGTACCTCCAAAGCTTTCCTTCTGAAAGCTGCCTTTAATCCAGGCCTGTGTATTCCTCTACCTAAGGACAGTTGACATTATGACTGTGGACCTAACTATTTGTTAGAAAGCAGATCTGAAATTACATTGGGCTTTAAAGCAGGGGGAATTAGGATGTCAGACAAAGTCTATATGGACTAACACAAAAGAGCCTGTTACCTGCAGTGTCTGGTAACACAGATAGATGCATTTTTACATACTGACACTCTAATACTGAGGTCTCATTTCTAAAATTTTGCAGTCACTGGTATGGAGAGAACCAAGGGTTGGGAAAATGCTGAATATCACTGCTCAATGACTACACTGACCTTGTACACAAGCTCATGCCACACTAGGTATACCAGATGTCTCCCTAGTCCTGCAGTGCCTTCAGTGGAAGACGACCAGCTACAGTGCTCTGTGAGTCCAAGGAGGGCTGTCTGTGGTTTTCACTGGGCCAGGATGTTGGAGCACAGCTCCAGTGAATACCTGGTGGAAGCCAGGAAAATGTGCTGGGGATTTCTAAGTTGGAAGCCTGATTAAGACATATTAGAAATACTCGTTCCTCCTTCTTTCCCTTCCTTCCTTCCTTCCTTCCTTCCTTCCTTCCTTCCTTCCTTCCTTCTTTCCATCTATATCCTCCTCTCCCTTCCTCTCTGTCTCTCTCTTTTTCTTTCTTTCCTCCCCCTCCCTTTCTCTCTCCCTGGGAAAGGTTATGTGTGCATTTCAGGTTGATGTTACCATGTGTGAATAGCATGGTAGTGAATTTTAATTAACCAGCGAATGCTCCCACAAAAGGCAAGGTCAGTGCAGAACAGCATAGATTAGAGATGAGGCGCTTATCTGAGCGTGCGAGAGCTCTGTTCTCAGACTCCTCCACACAGGGTCTTGGGGCATCTGTCTATCACACCAAATCCTGCCACCAACTGTAATCAGGAGACAGAGGTCACCATTAGAGCTGACACCAACTGTCACTGAGCAAGCAGACCCTGGTTTGGAGTGACTTGCTGGGATGTCCTCCCCAGTGCTCTGAGGATACCTAGACAGGACAGGTTGCTTGGTATACTGGGTCCCTAGATACTAGAGCTTCTAACCCAAGAAAGTGGGTGACTGAACAAGGATTAGCACAAATCATGATGGGTACATTTCAGAAGACAGGAGTGAATGCACTTGGACAGAAAATCCCTGCTGTAGTGCAGACAGTGGCATAGACCCCTGTGGCGGAGTGGAATTTGCAGCAGGGTCTTTATTATTTCTCAGTCTTTTGAGTGACTGTGGCGCCAAGGTCATCTAGTGATGTGTCATCACTGGGCTTCCTATTGACTCTTGGCATGCTCATCTGACTAGGGACAATCTCCTGTGATGACACAGTGTGAGGCAGAACAGGAATACATGAAGTTACCTGCTCCTGGAGCAAAGGGGGCTGTTCCTCTCCTGTCATGTCAGAGGCTCTATTTGGGAGACACTCTGCATCCTAACTGCCACTGAACATAGTTTTTAGGCCTTGTATTCTGGCCTGAGTGAGTCACTGCCACACTGTCTCCTAGAGTGATATGTTCCAGTGCTGCTGAACTTTGCACAGTTACCCAGAGACACAAAAGTGTAAGTACTATCACTGTCCGACATGTCTGCTATCACTTGTCAGGGTTACTGATGCGTATTTCTGTCCTCAACACCACAGCCGCTGTGGCCTCAGTCCACAAGAGATGTGTGTAGGGGATGTTTTCAGTTTGGAACTACAGCTTGAGCCTTTGACAGCCATTTCCCCCTCCTGCCACCTCACCTGTGTCCCTCCTGGATCTGTGACTGTCCTGGGAGTAGATGAGACACCCTTTGCTTTCCTGGCTGCAGCCTTATGTTCCTGACTCATGTGCTTCTTACCACTGCTAACTTCTATCACAGACTTTTCCCCAAACCTTGGGTTAATGCCTAACTTATTTCTGTTGTTTACTGTAGACTTGGGAGTTGCATGGGGTGACCCAAACTGGTGCCCAGTTGACCATGCTTTAGGGTCCCCACCTCTTCCTGATGTTGGGCAGATTCTACTAGCTTTGTAGTATGGGCTGCTATTTCCACTTGTTTCTCTTCCTTTCTATTGAGGCAGGTCTTCTCACTACATGGTCCAGACTGGCCTTACCTCAGTCTCCTAAGTGACTGGTCCACAGATCTCTCTGCCCTTTCACGCCAATGTCCTATAGCCCTTCAAGTAAACATTCTCTCTGGCTTTCTTTGTGATCTTTATCCTATATGGCTATGACTTAAAACACTCTTTTTTTTATCTCTGCCTCTACTTTTAAAAGGGTGGACACTTTCTCAGTGGTCCTTTCCAAGCTTGTTCTGAGGTGACAGAAGGACACCCAGGCCCCAGGCTCCTCTTTGTGGCTTGCTTTCCTCACAGTGCTATGGGACACTCATGTACTCTGCTCTCCCATTACATCATATCTTCTTTGGGCCATATTCCTCCATCTATCTGGGAGGATATGAAATAACTTCTCTAGTGGCCCTATGATTCTCCTGTGATGTTTGACAGTGACTCTGTGAACTTCAGTAGCACCTGGACTGGGCTCCAAATGGGACCTACCCTGTATTTGAGGTGCAGAGGTACAGAGCTAAGATCTGACCCCAGGCATGTGACCTTACTCTGCAGAAGCCAGAGCAAGGAGAAAGGAGAAAGGATGAAGAGGCTAAACCTCTGTGGACAAGGTAGAACTCCCATGTGATGGAGGCAGCTCTGGGCAGGCCAGGGATGCCTGTACTCTTGTAGGAGGGTCTGCAGGGTGTCTTCTAACAGAGCCATTCACCAGAGCTGCTCCAGAATCAAAGTGTATGTTTCTGACTCTTTAGCACGTGCTCTGTATAGGAGCGGGTGTCTGTTTTCTATGGGAAATAAATTTGAAGAATTCCCAAAGGACACACAGTGTCACTGACAACATAGAGTGGGACCTCTGCTTGCATCATGCTTGAAAGAAAGCGTTAAAAAGGAAGACAGCATTGACATTTGGGGTTGCAACGTGACGAAATTACAGTCTTTTAAAGGCAAGAAGCACTTATCTCCACTGCATGTAATATTCAGTGTTTTGTTCACTTGTCTAATTGGATTAAAATATTTAGCTCCCTTGATTGTGAATTTATATTGCTAAATGTAATGCCTGACTCAGAAAGCAATAGAGGAATGAATGCATCAATAGCAATATAAATTTCAGCATTTTTCATCCACTGTTCCTATTCTGGAAGTACACATTCCTGGACAAAAGGAGCCTTAGATGGAGCCTGGTGTGCTTTTCAGTATTACTGACACACACGGCGCCTAGATGAACAACTAAGCTAAGTGCATGCTGTTTCAGCTGCTTGGGGACGTTTCTGTGAGGGTTGTAAACCCTTCTGTTAGAAATGCAGCCCGGGGTCTTATGTCATTCTCCAAAAACACCCAGCAGCAGGGAGTTAGTGACATCTTAGCTGCATATGTTCAAGTTGATTTAAAAAAATATGCAAGTCACTTTGGTTGACAGTGTCTTGTACACAGTTTTGAAAGAATCAGGGCAAACTTTAACAGAGTCAGTTTTTATTTGAAAAATATTTTCTGGGAATGTATCAGTGTTTATTTTTAAGACTGACAATTCGGGTGAAAATCAGGATAAAAACAAAAAAACAACAATTTGGTTGAAATCAAATTGTTTGTTTTCATCTATTTAGAATTCTTTCCAAAAAATCCTGGTTTAGGAGGAGGCTTTGTAATTTGTTTTATTTGGTGTATTTTCTGTTATGATCATAAGACACCATCTGTCTTGCAGGTAGTTAACTGTGTGTGGGCCCTGAAGTTGGCTAGGCAAAGCCCCTGTGCTCAAGGAGGGACATATTAAGAGTGACCACCTCTAGATCCTCACTCTGGCTACCAGCTCCCTACCAACCCATGGGTCTGGGCCATATTCTCACTTGAGCTGCCCATCTCCAGCTTCCATCCTGTGTCTGCTAGTTACAAGCAGGCCTCTCTTCCCCTAGAATCTGCCTCTCATGCCTGTTTTCAACTCTATTCAATGAGTCCTCTGATGTAATGAGATAATGTCAATGATCTTGAATATAATCACATATGGCTGCTGGATCCATGCACAACTTTAAATCAAATTAGAAAGTACATACACTGCCAAGAATGTTTAAAAGTCATAGGGCCAACTGATTAACCACTGACACGGCAGCTTCAGACTCTGTTTTCTAAACTGTGAGTGATTCATAAGAAGGGACTCAAAGGGAATCCCTCCCCATGCTGAATGCTGAGGACTGAACAGGCAGTCGAAACCAGCCATTACCCAGGAACTCTCAAACTCATCTTGATGGGAGGACAGCCCTCCCAGTCAACAGACCATTTGTGTTTTCTTCCCTCTCCCTAACTCTGATTTCCTCACCAGCTGGCTCCACCCTTCCTGGCCAGATGATAAAAGTCTCTGGGCTTGGGCTGCTACTAAGGCAGTTCTGGATTAGGAGAAGAACGGGTGGCTGGTCCAGCTCTCACATCAGAGTCAGGCTGAGAGGACTTGTTACCTCCAAGATAAGGTCAAGCTATTATGACCACACCCACACAGACAATCATTGGATGGCCTTGCAGAAGCTATTTAAAAAGCTCATCCTAGTATGAGTCGGGGCCACCATTTCAGTGAATCCTGATTGAGGAACACACTACAGGCCAGCTGTGTTCTCTACAGTGACTTTCCTGCCACCCAGCAACTATGGAAACTTTGCAGCCGGAAGTGACATTGGCACATGGTCCAATTAGGACCAGTTTATTCCATGGGCATGAGGCTGTGTGTGACTCAAAATCTAAACAGAAGCCATTTAGAACAATCAAGGCTTAGAAACAAGGCATTTCCTGTTGGAGCCCACCATTCTTCCTCTGCACAGGCCAGGGTTTAGGACGTAGAGCCAATGTGAAGGACGTGACTATCCTCCCAAGCAGCTATTAGAAAAATGCTCATTCTCTTTTGAGTGCTGAGCAGACAGAGATTTTCCAGAGTTTGACATGCAAAGTTAAGCTAAATTCATCCAGGCTGAGAAAATGGAAGCCTTCACCCTCACCATCACTATACTGGACACAAAAGTGGCTATAAGTCTCAGATGCCAAGCAGTCTAACTTAGGGCAGGTTAAGTAAGGCCCAGCTGTTCCTCCAGATCCATCACGAGCCCTGTCCCCTAATCAGTTACAGAGTCAGTCAAACTTTGGCGTTCTTACTTCAAGCGTTCCTTTAAAAACTCACTTTAAAATTCATGTTTATTTCAAGACAAAAATGCATCACAGAGGCCAGCAAGAGCCAATACTTAGACCAAGGTAACACTTGTGCCAGAAGGGTAGAGTGAGTTTAGAAGCTGAGCACAGGGCTTATAAAGCCAGACTGGCTTCTCTAACTGCTCCCAGCATTTGCTATTGGGAGCCAACATTACCTCTGCCAAAGTTCTTTCATCTTGGTCATCTTAAAATAACTCCAAGATAGAATTTCAATATAAAAAGTCCCTTCAGAAATGCTCCAGGGATAGGCCAGTATCAGAGAGCAAGGTGCAGACAAGTCATTTCTGTTGCCACTGGCAAGGGAAGACAGACTTTTTCCTGGAATATTTTCTTTTAAATGCATTCTGTGAAAATCCTGCAATGAATCTGGCAGTCCTCAGGCTTTTAAAGCCCAGGAAAAAGGCTTCTGAACACCTCTGTTCCATGCTGAGATCTGTGTGTGCTACAAAGAAGGCAGATGAGTGTCCAAAGGCCGAGCTTATGTTAGAGGAGAGCCTAAAGTCTAGAGAGGGACAGGCTCACTCATGCATGAGTCCCAGGCCTTCATCGCATGCAACAGAAGTGCAGTCACTATAGGTGTCTCTGTTGACTTTGGACTTCATTTTCTAGGTCTCCCTCAGATCTACTAACAGACCTGGGTTATGACCAAAATCAGGTTCCTCAGCTGAGAGATGGACTTGGCACTGGGCATAGTTGAGATGGTCCTATCATTTCTGGCTCCACAGGGCCTTCTTAGGAAGGAGAGAAAAAGTGACCTCAAGTATGGGATACTTTAGCCTGCTATGTCCCTGAGGTCCCAGTGACTATGCCACTACCCTAATATGCCCATCTTTCCTTATCCTCGTGGTACACATGGGGACAGAGGCTCAGAGAGCCATGGGTGACTTGGCCAAGGTCTTCAATGGAATTGGTCCTGGCTCTAACACCAAACTAATATGTTCTCTGTCTTTCCAGTTACCCAACAGTTTGTAAGTTGAGGCTCCTGGGTCATACTTCCAGAAATGCCCTGGAGTGTCAGGGTTCTGGTGTATGCTCTCTCTCTCTCTCTCTCTCTCTCTCTCTCTCTCTCTCTCTCTCTCTCTCTCTCTCTCTCTCTCTTTCTCCCCTCTCTCTGCCTTCCTCCCTCCCCTCTGTGTGTGTGTGTGTATGTGTGTACACATTCTAGACAGTTGTCAGTATATGGTCAGACCCTACTGGCCTGTACCCCTGTAGCCTTTCAGTCCATATTTCTACTCACTGCCTAAGCCCTCTACCTTGTTTCCAATTTGGCTCCTTCACAACTGTGTATAGAGGGACTGAACAGGCTGAGTATCAAGGCAGGTCGGGATCATCAGCTCAAAGGCATTCTGAATGGAGAAGAGACTTGTTCTTTCAGCCCTTTCCCTTTTGAGTGCTTCCCGGCTAATCATACCAAGCACATGCCATGGGAAGTCCCTGGGTGCAATCCCAATTAAAGGCAGGAGCCAACCACAAGTCCAACAGCCACCTCTTTATCTTAAATTGCTTGATGGGGCAAGAACAAACACACACCCCCTCTCTGGTCTCTGGTGCTGAGAAGAACAGGGGTTTGTGCCACCCATCCTACTCACCTGGACTCTTTTCCGCCATTATCTAACCTGAATGGGGACAGTTTGGGCTCTGGAGTCAGATTTAGGTTCCATTTGCTGTGCCCCTATTTGCTAGCTGAATATGCTTGTTTGAGCCTCAGTTTCCCTATCTGTAAAATGGAGACAATAATGTCAATCTTGCTGGCTTGCTTAACTAACAGTGAGTGCTTACTGTAGATAGTGGACTTCTAGTCATTCTGCCAACATTCCCCACCCCAGACCCATTGTTACTGAATTAGGATAGGACATGTGACTCTACTCACAAGACCTCCCACTCTGGGAACACCTCTTCCTCCTCCTGTTGCAGTCCTCCAGCCCTCAGGGGCAGTCCACAGCTGTCTCCCCCACCCCCATGTTCTCTGTTTTCTTCACTGGTGTGACTGACTGGGTGATACATGTGCCTAAGGCTTATGGGAGACAAGCCTCAGCTCACACTTTCCCACGCTCATCCTAATTGGCAGGCCCTCTCTCCCAGCTTATGACCTGACCTGGGAGATCAACAGGAATTTTGGCCTGTAACAGTGCAGCCTAGAAGAGGGGAGGGAGAGGGCTCATGTGCACAGCCACACTGCACCAGGCTGCCCTAACCTCAAGCTATATAGTGAGCTTTGTGTGTGCTCTTGTATGGACCTGGGCTGCCCTGAGCCTGCCCCACAGTGGTCCCTGTGTGCATTCCCATTCTGTGCTAGGCTATTGGTACTTAGGCTGCAGTTCATCTCCTATGTGTCTTCCCCACTCTACCTGGGCTCGCAGTCGGTCCACCTCCTCTGATAGGCTCTGTCGCTCCAGAAGAAGCTGATTCTGCTTGTTGAGCAACTGCACCAGCTGCTGGGCTGTGGCCTGGCCATGCTTGTCCAGCTGTCTGAGTCTGCAGAAGAGAATTGGAGATGGGTTCTGGGATCTGGATGCTTTGGAGAAGCACAAAGATTGGCAGGTATTCACTCCATTTGTTGTTAACATTCCAGTGCTATGACAAAATACTCAAGGAAGAAATGGCTTATTTTGGCTTGCATATTTTTAAGTTTTAGTCCATGATTAGTTTTTTACATTGAGCCCACAATTACTAGGCTGTATGGTTTTGGGTGTGAGCAAGGCAGCTTCCCTTGTTTAAGCATACATGGTAAAGGAAGTCCTTACTTCAAGGAGGGCAGGAAATGGAGAGAGAAAGCTACACTCAGGGTCACACCTGCCATCCCACACACCAATAACCCAACTTGTCCCTCCTCCCACTAGGCTCCTCCCTATAGAATGGGGAGGCTGGGAACAAAGTCTACAAACGGGAACCATGGGGAGAGGGTACACAATGAAAATAGAAACTTAACTGTGTAACTGAAGGAAGCCCCTGGGAGTACAGATGTGGAAGTGGCGAGTAGCAACCTGGCTAGCACTGGGCCACTGGCCAGCACCTGTTAAGCTAGATTGCCTTCTAGCAAATGACAAGGGAAGCAGCATCCTCCTAACATGTTGAGTCAGAAACATAGGGGAGTTGAATCTAGAAGAAAAGCTGAGGCCTTAGACTCATAAGCAGAGGTAAAAGTGAGGGGCTTAGACGATTCCATTGTCACTGGGAACAGCTGGGGCCAGGGCAGGTTGCAGCGTGGCTAGGGATGGGGTGAAGCCTCAGAAACACTGGACTGAGGGCTTTCCCATTGTAATCCCTGTCAGTCACAGGCTGTGGCACTGATGACCAGATGTCTTCAAAGAGCCTAAATTTGTCCTTCTGCTGATAGGCTCTCCTCCCCAGACTTGCTAATTCACTGTGGCCATTATCCTCATCTGCACAGCCCATGCAGCCACTAGCACATGTGCCCATGGAAGGCAGCTCTGGGTTAAATTTAGAGTGCAGCCGCCACCCAGAGCGGGAAAGAAAGGTACAGTGCTCTCTTCCTCCACCTCTCCAGTCAGGAGCAGCACTGCCCAGCAACTCCTTGCACATTAGCAGATGTCACCAGCTCCATCTGCACTTCTGATGCCAGGTTCTGGCACCTGGTGGCATCTGCATGCAGTGCTCTCCCCAGGTAGTGCTTCTGTTCCAGTACAGGCAGCATTGTAGAGCCACACCTTAAGGCCTTGGGACATTGTGTTTACTAAAAATGGCTATAAGCAAAATGCATTTCCGGAAACCTGGCAACAGTCTAGTATGTTACATACACACAGAGACACACAGGGATACAGACAGACAGACAGACCCCCACAAACACAATGACTGCAAAGCATGGAATATATAACCTGCCCCCATCTGCCTTTCTCTGCAAACACTGGACTGGGCTGGCTGCCCTCACTCTCACCAGGTGAGGGAGCTTCTCAGCTGGGGCACCCTACCTGCCAGGTGAGAACAGGGAGGACAGAGCTTGCACTGAACTTGCAGTGTCCCCCTGCCCAGGCTCCTGTGGTTCAGATGATGGAAGGACCAAGGGGCCCCATCAAACCCTAGCAGTGGCTCACTGCCCAACAAGGGTTTCCTGCCTGTGTCTGTGATACATCCTTCCTCTGCCCTTGGAGAAGGAAAAGTCGAGTTTCCCTGAGTAAAGCCACAGGCAGTCAGCACTGGGGTGCTCACATACCTCTACCCCAGCACAATGTTGAAGGGTAGGATTTTCTGGGGGACCAGTCAGTCTCTGTGCTAATTCGGGTAAGGGACAGACCTTCCTGAAGCTTGCTTGTGTGGACTGAGCTGCCTAGGCGATCTGTTGACACATATGCAATCCCCTTTGTTTATAGCACACTTTTCTGCTGGAGCCCCTGGAGTGGCTCCCACAGGGCCACTGACAGCCTGGTTTTACTGAGAAGCAGTTAATTGTCCCATGCTCCAGTCAGGCAGGTGGGAAGCACCATGGTTAGCAACTGAGTTGGGCAATTCCAAGATGATTTCCCTGAGATTAAGTTCTATTGAGGGAGTAGCTTTTGGCTTTTGGCAGGAACTTGATGTTTACAAGTGATCAGTAAGCCTGCATGGAGGTGGCAGTTCATGGGAGGCAAAAGCCAATGCTGGCTGAGGACAGGGGCTTCCTGTATCAGCACCCAGCTAGTAGGGGTGAGCTTCTGAGAGTGAAACCCTGATACCCTCCCTCCTAGAAGGAGGCAATCCTCTACCCAAGCCTCTTTGTTGCTCAGGCTGGTCTCAAACTCACTGGCTCAATGTTGAAGCTATACTCCTGCCTCTACCCCGCCCCCCCCACAAGTAGCTGTTGTAACTGCACACCATTGCCACAGACTTGCCTAATGTTTCAAACCAACTTGATCACTCTATGAAACTGTCATTATCCTCCATTACAAAAAAAAAAATGCACTCTTCTGTTTGGGGGCAGCCCCTATATTGTTACTCCACATACAGCAAGGAAGTTAAACAAACCCAGAAACTTAAAAACGCCCCAAATGCACATTTTTCTGAAAGAATGTAAAGACAGAATTTAGAGTTAAAGGGTTTCCTGAGGAAATACACTCTGGAAGTTCTCTGGAGGCATCTTTTAATTTGAAATTTATTTTAGAAACACTGCCCAGCCCAGCCTGCACTGTGTTAGTGTGTACTTTATTACCATCACTCAGAGGCAGCTTCTTAGACAAATATATTTCAAACTTCCTGGTATTGGTCCTTCTACTCATTTTTGATGACCTAAATGGATAGCTGCTGGCACTCACCAACATTTGCTGAACCCTGGATTTACAGCTCCATGTTGATTATTAATTACTACCCTCTGAAGTACCTGAGAGTCACCTCTCCCATTTCACAGACGGGGAAACTGAACACAATGGCTTAATTAACTTGCATAAGTTATACCTGTACCTGGCAGAGCCTGGCATCTAATCCAGGCAGTCCCCACTTGGCTATCTCACCAAGCCAACCAACTTTTGGCGAACATTTCCTAAGAGTCCAGAACTGTGCTCTTCAGCTTTGCATGACAGTGACAACTGAGATCAACAACTGGAAGGAGGAAGGTTTTAGTTCGTTTCCCAGGTTCCAGATCATGGTCAGGTGTGTGCGGAAGGGGAAGCCACTGGCCTCATAGCAGCCAGGGTGGGCAGAGACAGACATGAAGGCCCAGAGCCCCACTTGGGCCCCAAAGATCCAACTTTCTTCTGGTAAGTCCCACCCCATCTCAGTTGTACCACAGGCTGGCCCAACCATAAGTAAGTGTTCAGGTAACCCTTCCCTCGGGAGACGCTCAGCTGTGCGACTCAGACAGGTGCACAGGTCAAGATGGCAAATGTGTGGTTTGGAAAGGCAGAAGTCAAGCCCACCATTCACTGAGCATTCACTGCTCAGGGCAATGTGCTCTGTGCTTTGGAAAAGTGAAACCTAGTGCTCTCCACAATCCCAAGAGGCGGGAGCTACAGTCCCATTTTCAGGATGAGGAATCTGAGGCAGGCAAGGTTCCAAGTCACATGGCTAGCAGGCTGTGATATGAAGAGGGGAGAGAGAGAGAGAGGGAGAGAGAGAGACAATGAGAGAGAGAGAGAGAGACTGATGCTAGTCAGTCAGGAGCAAAACACAGCCCCTCAGCCTTTAGAGATGCCAGCATTTTCTCTCTCCTCACTGGGTTATCTGCACAGACTCACCCTGCCTGCTGTCAGGTCTCGTGTCAGTCTGACATGTTGACACGTGGAGGCTTCATGGTTTTAGTCCTGTCCTCCACAGGGTGTTCAATAGTGAAGAGAACAAGAGGGGTGTGATCTGAGGCCTGTGGGGATGTGTTTAAAAGGCAGCTGTCATAGAATGATTGGTCCATGAGAAAGGACACTTGTTTTCATCAGGCAGGTGCTGATTTGCCCAACCTGGGCTACAGGCCACACTTTGGGGACTTGCATGTACAGAACTACCCCCTCTGGGCAGGGTGACGACTCAGGCAGCTGTGTGTGCTGTGCCACAGGCTCTCTATGGAGGCATCTCTAGAAATTTCAGGTGTAGAAGGGACAGCAATTTCCAAGACAACAAAGAAGAGTCTTCTAAAAGTACAAATGCAGATGCAAATCACAGGAGACCCTGTGTGACGTGCCAAGCTAGTCTCTATTGGTCCAACACCCATGGTCTCAGCCACACTGCAGGGGCACTATCTGAAACAGCACTTTTGAAAGCTATGTGAGACTTCATGATAGGCTGGAACAAGTGATAGAATACAAAACAACTCCGCAAAGCTAGTGGGCCAGGAAGAGGGAAGAGCGTATGCAAACTAGCAGCAGGGCAGGCTGCCAGCGTGGGTCCTGGGCTTCAGACACTTCTCTGCTATGAATACTGTGAAAGCAAGCGAATACATACACTTAAATCTCTCTGTTGTTTGGGAGATGGGGATATGTGTGTAGCATGTGAGCTGTGAGGTCTTCAAACGACATGAGGGCTTGGGTGCCTAGTGAGGCGCTGCCTGCAGTCTTCCAGGCCAGTCCTGTTCCTCTGCCAGAGGTTGCCATCCATGTCTTGAATACAGTTCCACTGGGTGTCTCCCACAGACAAGCTGGTGGGGAATTTTGTTTGGTTTTGAGAGGTTGATGTTTTGTTGTGTTTGAGTGTTTGATGTAGCGGTAAAATGACTTTTTTTTCCTGAAAAGGCCACAGCCCTTTCCTGTGGAGGTTCTGAATCCAGTAGGTCTCCCTCCTCTTCTTAGATACTCAGAATTTAAATCCACACTTTCCCTGGGAGAGGAGTCTCCTCAAACAACATACGGATCTTAAACTAAATATTGTAACTGTGAAATATGTTCAGTTCCTCCCTGCTCTGGGTGAGCTGTAGCACTGACTAAGCACATGGGACTGGGTTGTGAGCACCCTGCCAGCCACCTCACACTCAGTCCTCTCGAGCCTAGGTGAGAGCAGAGGAGGGGTCAGACCTGCACGCTCACAGGACAGAGGCAGCTACCAGAATGTTCCACAGCTTC